GGGCTCTCCGGCACCAACCCCGGGGCGGCGAGGCACCGCGGCGGCGGGAGCCGGAGGGTTGCACGGACATCTGCAGGGTGTGCCCCTGTGGGCAGAACGCAGACCCGCAAAAGGCCATCAGGGAAGGAAAGCCAGCTTGCATTTTCCGGTGGTTTACTCTTAAAGACATTTTTGTGTGTGCCTGTTTTTCTCTTTAGTTTGAAGAGTTGCATCTTGCGTGCAGAGCAGGAGGCTGTGATGCGTGTGATGAACTTCCTCGAGGAGTCTGCGGGATAGTCTCTGAGGCTGTTGGCACAGTCTCTCCCTGAGATGTGGTTCCACCCATCTGGCAGATGTCACCGAGCTTCAGGAGCGGGCTTGGTTCCCATCGCGTGGTTTTAGGGAACCTCAGCGTGATTCTGAGGTAAAGCAACAGATCTTGACTCAATCTCACGTTTTGTAGCAAAACAATGGAGCAAATAGAGAGCACCTGGATTATTGAGTTCAGTTTTGGTCCGGGACAGCTTAAGAAAGAGAGTGAAACCCTGGAGAGGGTCCAGTGGGGGGCCAACATGGTTCTTACAGGATTAGAGAGCCTGGCACATGTTTGAAGGAACTGGGTTTATTCAGCCTAGAGAAAAGAACGTTCAGGGGAGATCCAGCCACGGTTTTTGGACTACCTCTTCATAGGGGTGCACAGGACAAGAGGCAATTGGAACATGTTTCTTCAGGGGAAATTCTGTACAGCTATAAGAAAAAATATTCTTCACTGTAAAAACAATTAGACACTGGAATATATTGCACAGAGACGTAGTGGGAGCTTCCTCAATAGAAATATTCAAGACTTGGCTTGACACGCCCCTTGATTTAATGCCTTACTTTTAAATGGAAGCCAGGTATCTCCAGAGGTCCTTTCTCAGCCTAAAATTTCCTGTAATTCAAATCGTGCCCTCAGAGACGTGCTACAGCATTCTGCTCACAGTGGAGCTTTCCTCAGTTGCAGGCTTCATTTGTAGAAATTAATTTGTTTCACTTTCATTTCACTGTTGTCCTTTCTGCTTATGTCAGGTTTCACTCTTATTTCATAACTACTTTTTTATTACTGCTTTATGCAAGATTGCTTTGAAAGATTTCCAGAGAAAGTCTCACTGCTTTTTTTCACCCACTACTTTTTCTTCTGTCTTCAGCACCTTCTTTGGATGACTCAGCAGCCTTTCTTGCAAGGCCTCAGGAACCTGCAGGAGCTGTTCGGGTGCAGCATGTGTAGACAGGCTGTTTGTACATTTGCTTCGTTTCCCGAAGCTGTGTGTGTAGCAGTGGTACCTCAGGTCCCGTGTATTTATACCACAACAATCCTTTACAGGTTCTGAGAGTTTGCAGACATTAAGAGGACACTTGTGACTTACAGAGGGGGGGAAAAAAAATCAGTGCTGCTTGGTTATTCCAGCTGCTGCTCGGTTGCACAGATGGTGGCTGAGCTCCTGCTCTGTCCATGGATGATGCGAATGTCCTGACTCAGTTGCTCTCCTCTAGCTGGATGTTTACCCCTCATAAACGCAGTAATTTTTGAGGCCTTTGTCCCTTTCAGATGTGACTGCAATTAGTCACAGGGTTCATAAGCAGGGGAGGAGCACAAGGCCTCCCTCACGGGGCAGCCAGGCAGAGAGGCTGCGCCGTGCCAGCTCCCGGCCCGCACGGTCAAAGTCCGCGGGTACAGCTGGGGGACCGGCTCGCACCCATCGGCTGAAGCACACGCAGAAACACCCCAGGAGCTTCATCCAGGGGCCACCTGCGCCGGGCTA